ATTATTTCATTTATAAAGTTCTTTAATAATTTATTATTTAATTAAATTTTTTTTTTTTTTAAAAAGTTTACAGTTTTTAAGGCTTCATCAAAGTGCAGAGATGTTGTTATAGATGGCACAAGAAGAAGCTGTTTCGAATCATATTGTAATTAATGAATTGTTAAGTGTAGATTGCTATATTGGACTAAAATCTAATTAGTTATGTTTCGGATTTGGTGGCCAACTCGCTTGAGTGTCCAATTATGAGCAAACCATTGGAAAGCCCATCCGATTTCCCGTGTTCTTGAAGACATCGCAGACAGCGCTTCCAGCTTTGAGACAACAGCACATATTCTATCATAAATGGCTATATGGATATAAAATTGGAAATTTTATGCCAGTCCAAGGTCTGCCTTTGTTCACTGCCCACATAGCACCGTGGCAGCGTTATAGAAAGGTGAATCCAAGGAGCAAAAAGAGAAGGGGAAAAAAATAAAAATAAAAATAACGATTCTGATATTCTCCTTCGTTTGTGGCAAACTGAAGATGTTTTTCATGCCGACAATGCGCCTGCACAACCCATACAGACAGACCTACATCCACATCTTCACTGACATTGACATCGCATCAGGTACAACACTGTCCCTGCAGAAGGAAGGCAGATGCCGTCTATGCGCCTCCTCTCCCCGTCTCTGGCTAATTCTCTGCTAAACTCATCGCCACCTCTTGATCTGCAACTGCGGCTCCATCTATACCCGACCTCGACGTCCGTATGGTCACCTATCCTTGACCTTTGTATGACGTTTCATCCATCCAAAACTCACAGTGAGAGTGGGGAGAGAGGAGGGAATGAGTAAGATTAGCCGTGACTTCCTACACCAGAATGCGGCTTCTACTAATACCTCTCAACCCTACTTAGCTTTCCTGCATTTAGCACTACCCAGCTCCATGATGGTAGTGGTGGTGGTGGTGGTGATAGTGACAGTGATGACATGCATCGGGGGGGGGGGGGGAGAGGCCTGGGGAAGATGCCGATGGCTTTTTTCCCAGGTACCACTCTCCCAGCTAATTATTCATTTTTCATACATCTTTTCATTATCAACATTCCAAATTTCTCTATCGCTTCAAAGAAAGCGAAAGAATGAAACGAGCGCCTTGTTTGCCTAAAACTTACTTCAGCCCTTCCAGCTCCCAGTCCACTTGATTCCACGCTCCTCAACCAACCTTAACCATTTCTACATACATCCTTAGGATAAGGATCTTCCTTGCGGAAAGTTACGAAAAACGATCAATCCCATCGACGGGGCTTCGGCTTCCATCGCCCAATGTGCTCCCGTAGTAGTAAAAGATCCATGACGTATTACTATCTGGTATCCTGGTAACAATAAGCACGATGAAGAGATAGTGTGTTGGAGGCGCTGCGTGATAAGAACTCAAGAAGCCAAGTTGGAAGCTTATCAAGGGGCGATTATGAAAGAGGAAAATGAAAAGAGAGCAAAAAAGAAAATTAGCCGGAGGTTGAACAGGGCATTCTATGGAATTACATACTTTGGAATTAAGAAATGGATTGTTGACAATCAAGATGCAGTTCCTACTTTCTCACCCACACCGGGGCAAGTTTTTATACGCATCCACACATTGCCTCCTCCAAGCACAGTCAATGCGGTCCTTAAGGTTTTCATAAAAAGCTTTTTTATAACAAAAAAAAAAAGAAAAGAAAAAGAAAAGAAAACATGAAATCAAGGAAAAGAGAGATAGAGTCTAACTATGGAGAGGAAAAAGAAATCTAAAGTATCTTTCTAAAAATCTTATATATTATCTATCCCTGTTTCTTTGAAAGTCCAACAACCTAATCTCAACAACATCCGACATCCATGGATACTTCCCGTATATACATGTCCACTTCAAAATCTGACCACAGCCTTAGGAAGCCCATTTCATCCATACAGCGCAAAGGACGAAGCACAATCCCTTTGAACCTGACACATTCCACGCACAGAACCGACACAGCCCAAAATGGATACCTAAGCTACCCCGGAAAAACCACTCCCCATTGGACTCGGCTAGATAATGAAGCAATCTTGGAACAAACGCCAATGGCTGGACTGCAACCAAGCACAACATCAACTTGACAGAACGACAGGCTACTCAAAGAGAAAAAAAGAAAAGAAAAAAAAAGAAAAAAAAACTTGCACATCAAAATGAAATCGCAAGTTGCAGCCCCAACCACCCAATCAATTCACCAATCAACCAACCGCAAGCAATACTTTGTATCCAGCCAGTCGCCAGTTTGGCAAAGGTTGTCAGCCAGTTAGCATTGGTTCTTTTTATAGAAAGAAAATCTTATTTTGCTGTCTTCCTTGTTTGCATCGCTCAACCCAACCTCGTCTACTTCCCTTTCTCCCAAGTCAAACCTCGCAAAATCCGAGATAAAGGGGAGGGGGGGGAAATCTATTACGAAATAGACATGGGATTTCACAAAAAGGATAGTTAAAAGAAAGGGGGAGGGGTTAAAAATAATGGCAGCCCATTCCCATCTCACCGCACTTTCAAACCATTCTCAAACTGGCGCCAGGGCGGGGCCAAGCGGTTCCACCCAAAATCCACCACGAAAAAGCAAAAAGTAACTAAAGAATCCGTCGAGGAACGTCATCTGTTAAACACATTCGTCTATACTTTCTCAACCACTAAATACTTTTTACAAATCCAGTCCAATCCCCATTTACAACTTCCGCGGTTGGCCCTCGCGAAGCCGCGATCTAGCCATGGAGTAGGCAGTTGTAGAGTAACTACCAGCAAGCCTGTGGGCTTTCTTGAGTGGAGGGAAAAAACAACTCATCCCCGTCAAAAAGTTTGGTAACTCATCCTCAAAGGGAAAAAAAAAAAAAAAAAAAAAAAAAGAGGTTCCCCGTGTGCATGTACCGTACATACGAATGGTTGTGTTGCCTGGGTATTGGATAAAGTCTCTCTACCGATGCGGCGCGCGGTTTCAGAATCCTGAGGCTTAGAGGCGCTAGTTTCGGAAAAATGGAGCCCGGGGTTCGTTTTGACTTCGACCTCAGTTGGAACTTGGCGGCAGTCTCAGGTTTTCAGGGCTGGTGGGGAGTCGAGCATGACTAGATGAGGGGTACAGAGATGGATAAGAGATGGCCCGATGGACCCGCTGCCAGGGTGCATTGATGGCGTGTTTTTTTGGCTGAGGTATTATGCAGAAAGGCTTGCGGAGAGGTGACATGGTGCTTTGTTCGCTTGCTTGGGCTTGATTCTGGGCCGAGAGTTGGAATCATGGTATCATTCTGGTGGAAGTTACTGACTACATGTTGACCGGCTCGGGAGATGGTTTGATGATGAGTGAGTGGTGTGGTCGGCTTTTCATCTTGAATTTTGTCTCATCGCCAGACTTCGAGTGGCTGGAAGGCTTTGATTTATCATTTTCCGGAAGAATAGGCATGGATGTCGGAAAAAGACTCACAATGGTACCATTTTATGGCCGCTTTCTTGAGTGCGTCTTTCTTGAACGCTTTTCATCTTCCATGTCTGACACAAATGTCCTGCGTTACTGCTAAGACATATCATAACAGCACAGGTACCTTTTCCGCTGTCGTAATGCCGGTCCTTATGATATTTTCTCATGGCCTATGCCAGTCTTGGATCGGTGCCGGGTCAAATGAGCCCAAATCGCCATCCATGAGACCCATTTTGAACCCCCCCCCCCCCCCCTTTCGGGCAATGGGGCTGGAATTGAGCAATCCGGCTACGTTACGAATGTGCCCGATCAACGATTCATGATGTTAACGGCTTAGAAAAGTCAGTGGAACCATGCTGGGAAGAAACTAATGTGGGGCGAAGAGACTACGCTATAGTGTATAGTTTGTATGCGATATGGCATTTAGCATCAACTGGGCGAGGAAAACTTGCTGCAGAATGACGCTGGTAAACCTTTCTGTCCGGTGGAGCTGCCCAGGTGAACCATCTTGCCCGACTGCGACTCTGCGCTGGACTGCTAAGATCAGACCCACCGAGTATCGAGATCTACTAAAGCCTAACCGGGAGGATAGATCTTTCCTTTCTTTCCTTTTTCTTTGGGGGGGAGGAAAACGCGGAGGAACCCCGACTCCCTGAGTCAACCGTTTCAGCCGTGTCTCAAGTCCTTGACTGACAGCAGTGTGCTAGAGCTGAGATGCATTCCTCATCTTGACAACTAGTTCACACTGCAGACAATGTCACACATTTCATCCTATCAAAGATAATGATCAATCGAATACTCTGCAGTGGTATGATGTATAAAACACTTAATAGTTGTATGAATATTTTCTGACATATTACTTGTGACATTCTATATGAAGATCAGACAAGCTGGAGCAACATCCTCTTATAAAAGAGCGATGAAACTGACTGCAGAGAAATTCATTGTGTACATAGCTCTTCTATGGAAGAGGTTATTGTATCGACTATTACTATCTTGTTTGCTGCTACCTTAGCGCATCTCAAGACGTAATAGACGATTTCAATTATCCTTGAGAAAACAGAAAGAGAAAATGGAAGTGGCGTAACTAACATGCTCAAGTCTGCAAAGTTCATTGCTTGCTTGGCGCTGGGAAGGAATATCTAGCGATCCCTTGACAAATCCTGGGCACTGGAAGGCGTTGTTCGCTGGTTGCAAGTGTGTTCTATTCATGTAAATCTACTTCTCCTGAAACAGGACAAGCTGACAGCTCCTGAAAATGAGCTGGGGATGGTTGACGTCTGTTCCTCGCGAGTGCGAGACGAGCAGCAGTAAGCAGCAGTATGCATCTGTCAGTTCGGGATCATCCCCTGCGACCTCAGTTCGCGAAAATCCTCAACTTTGAATCCACCCCTGCCGTGGCGACAACGCTGCGGATTTTGCACCTGGATGGTTCCTCTCTTATCCCGTTGCTCTCCGGCGTCCCATTCATTGCCTTCATCATTCTTCCTCCCCGCAGCGCCCGCTGTAAACTGCAGGTACATCCTTGGCAGTTCCCGGGACTCGCCTCAGACAGTTGACAAAGCCATCATGCACGTCGCTGAGCATCTTGATGCACTTCCTCTCTTGACTCAGGTCCTAGCAGCATAGCGAGCGTCTTTGTCATCCAATGCTGAAAGGAGATATTTGCCGCCGGGAATGAAAAAAGCCAGAGCTCGCACCCAGTTGTCATGGCCTTCTAGTGCCAGGAGGCAAGTCCCGCGATTATCAATCACAGAGTTTGATAGTCTCTGATCTCCATGACTCAGTCACCATGAACTCTGCTATGCTACTACATATGGAGGCTTCTTCAGTCCAGTCAGGGGTCCAAGATACTGATACAAGGCAGGCGGAGTGAGTGCACAACTTCCATTGAAGTGCTCATGGCCAAACATTATCAGCTTATCACCTGGAATCGATCTGGAGATATCTCCTAACTAAGCGGTCATATCTTCCCCAGTCAAGAGAAGGAATCTTCTATCAACGAAGGGGTAGACATCTCATACCCAGCATATCTGGCCTTGGCAGTGTCTTCATGCAATACTCAGTGGCGATATCCCATATCTTTAGAGCCTTATCTCTGCTTGTACTAATAAAGAAGTTTCCAGATAATGCCTCAGCAGCTTTGCAAAAGGAAATTTGAATAGTGCTGACGCTGTGATTATACTCTTAACAAAGTTTTAAATGTTTTTATACTTATCTGCTAGATTTCATAGCTTAATGACGAGATTAAAGCTGCAGGATATCAAAATGATATCATCTTGTAGGCTATCATAGTCATCATTCAGTACTTGCTCTTATATTGCCTTTGGTTTTCTTTTCAGTTTCATCAAGCTCTCAGTCCTATGTTTCAATAATACAATTATCAGAGCTGAAGGCTATGAAAGAGAATAGTGAATAAATATAATACTGTCTATGATATCTTATTTGATGTCGACAAGAAAATTGAAAACTTCAAGAAACAAAGTCTTGATTACACCGAGAAAAAAAAAAAAAAAAAAAAAAAAAAAAAAAAAAAAAAAAAAAAAAAAAAAAAAAAAAAAGAGAGAGAATTTATTAAATTCATGCTATGATGCTTGTATCATAGAATTTGGCATTTATTGTCTATGATAAAATACTAATTAGATTGTCTTTATTTAGACATTGCTATAACAGTAGTAAACAGAATAAAAAGACTTTGCGATGCTGTCCGTAACAAAACGACGCTTATTCATATTTCTTCAACAACGTTTTGTATTTCTCTGCTATTGCTGCATTGGAAATAGCTTCCTCAAGGTCCAGCTCTGTTCTGGATGCAGTGGTTATTCATAGACAGGCAAAAATAAGCTATGGTTGACTTTGGACTGGGAACCGAGCATTATTAGCTTTGGTCTAGGCTCTAGGCTCACGGTGACACTTGTCATCATCAAGGTGTGAACGCACATGCTTGAACCTGTCAATATACAAAGTCATGCTAGGGATTGGTGAACCGAAAATGCAAGAGCCCAGACTTGAGCCCTCTTGCTTCAAATCGTTGTCATTATGCTACGGGCTACCCGTCACCTGCAGGCAGAGAGCGAGGTAGTTAAAACTGTGAATGGAAAGTGTGGAGAGCGCAAGGTCAATCAAGAGCGCAAAGAGGGAGCCTATCAATCGGCCGGTGGCGCGGGACGGTTTTGGCGTTCTGAAGGCCCGAGGAGGCGCAGCCAAACGGCATCAATGGGTCAGGACAGGAAGGCGATGGAAATTCTCTATCAGCTTCTGGTCGTTTTGTGGTTTCACAACCCTGGATCTAACAGTTCGTTAGGGGGTACCTAGCTAGTCCGGACAGCGGCTACTGCATGAAATTCTTTCAAGATTTTCTTCTTCTTTTTTTTTTTTAGAGATGTATGTGACTGGTTGGGCTTGTTTTTGCTGAAATGGATATCAGGTTTTACCCCGTGCTGGAAGCTATAAATATCTTCTGTGTATATTGTATGTTCAGTTTTGGAAGTAAGATTTCATATGGGTCTTGTTTGATATATATCTATCCTCTTACATCTGGATGGAGGATTCTTCAAAATGAAACTATGGTTCTGATTAAATGGGCTTTTTTACTATCTTTAGCCGCCCGGTTGATTCATGCAAGGAATGTTTTGGGGCTCTTGTTGTTTCCAAACTAGAAATTGGAGATATCCTCTCTGCTCTTCGTATATCTTGTCAGATACTAGTTTTGATGAACGGAAGATAGGCCCATCAAACGCTCACAAGATGGTTTTTGACTGAGATGATTGCCATATGCAAACCTTTCTATTTTATTTCCCAGGCCACATACCTGCAATAGAAATCGCTGGGCTTTCCATTGGCATATAAACACCCAGGAAAAAGGGGTAAATGGACTAGATGAAAGGGACAACATATGTACAAGATCGCCAAGAAAATAATACAGATATTCATGAGAAAGAACAGAGGACAAAGAGGAAGAGGAATAAAGATATATTTTGATGCATGAAAGAAGCCGAAAAGAGAGTGATATAATAACATATTATCAACAAATAGATACCTGGATAGCAAGATCAGTGACTCATCCATATTCCAATCCACCAACCAAAATATCCAAAGATATAGACAATGCACAAAAAGCCCCCTCCACTCCAGAGGATATATAATGCGCATGCACATTACTAAAATAAAGACCAACACCCCCTTCTCAATCATGGCTCGTGGGCATTTCTTGCGCAGCCGTAAGCCTCTCACGCGATAGATTCGCTTTCAGATACGGAGCAATGTCACGCTCGTTTTCGGGAGCAACAGCAGGTGCATAGTACCCTTTCGCTGTAACTACAGCCCCAGCTCCGCGTGGCCCGTCACCCAGCTCGGATAGCATCTGTGAGCTGTCCAGTTCCGACCCTCGCCCAATCCCCATTGCGATTTTGCCCCTTTTCTGGTTGCGGCGGAAGAAGAAGAGGCCAAGGCCTACGATGGTGACACCCGCGACACCGCCGATTGTACCGCCTGCTATTACGCCCGAGGAGGGTTTGTTTGATGATTGTGGATTTTCTTGTTCTTTTTGGGATGGTAGGGTTGGAGAAGAAGATGAAGCTGTTGTTGACAGAGGTGAACGCTGGGGTGGTGGAGTGATTGATGGCGATTCTTGAAGATGGAACATGTAAGTGGATGTGTTTTAATGTTTTGAGCATGTTTACCCTGAGGACATGTTGGTGTTGGGTAATGGGGATTCGGAGAGCTGATGTCTGATGAAGAAATTGAGACGGAACCGTGAGTATGAACTTACTCGTTGCCGTGGCCGTGACGTCCGCCGGGAGAGTGCGGTAGACAGTATACGCTTTCCAATCCTGCCAACAGAAGATGTTTGTTGCGGACGGCGAGCCGAAGGGGGAGGTTTCGTATACGGTCATTGTTTGGCAGGAGGCGCCTCGTTGACTATTTTCATTGTCAGATATATTGATATGCTGCCTCATCCACACCTGGAGACAGGGGTTTCCTCCTCTTTCTTTTCTCTTCCTCTTCTCCTTCTCATCTGGGCGGAAGGCGATGGTCGTACCAGGTATAAGTGAGACCGTATTGAAGTTGAACGGTTCCATCTAGACAGTTTGTAGCCATTGCACATGGTGTTGTTTGAGAAATTTTGCAACAGCCGGCATAGGTTCCCGATGTTATCCACGCGCTGTCAGTGTTGCCGCATGTTATCGATTCGGCTATGGATATGGACCAGAATGGTCCCAGTTAGTAAAAAAGAAAATGAGCATATCCAAGAACAGTTTGATGGCCGGATTTATTCAAACTTGTACGAACTTGAAGTTGATCCGTCTTTTGGATATACGTAGTATCCGTTGAACCACATCGGGAGATCTTCAGCGTTTGAAAAGTTTTTATTCAGAAGAGCGAAAAGGCTCAACGCCATAATTAGAGAGGGTCGCACTCCCATCATCCCCCTCATCATCATCTTGACAGTTGGTTGAGAGAAAAAAAATCGCTGCGCTGTTGTGTTGGCTCTAACGCAAATTCGATGACCGCGATGTTACATCAAGCGCCAGGCGGGAACAGACAAAGTCGTTCAAATCGAGATTCTTCGAGGATAGACGCTTCCAACGAGACTGCAACGATGAGAAAGATCCAAGAAGAACACATCCCTTGGAGGGGAAAAATGACTTGGAAAAAAAAAAAAAAAAAAAGACGTAGAATGAAAACAGATGATCGTCGACCCCAGAACGTTTTTTCCGATGGGAGAGAAGCCAACCCCAGTCGCCCCGTGGAACCCCCGCCTCAATGCCATAATGAAGATGCCTTGATGTCGGAACATCAGCTCCAGCGCTATTTGTTGCGCATCGCTGTGACCAGCAAATGAGAGGGCATGGTTCTTTGCCAGGCCACTAGGAAAAGGGGTGGGAAACGAAAAGAGAAACACGTAAAATAGCCCGGCTAAGAAAATGGCCATTGGCTTTAATCTTCTTTAGCTCCAGAAATTTCACATAGTATTAACTATCCACTGGCAGTATTGCCAAATGACAACGATTTTCCTTCAGGCCAAGCAAACAAACAGCAAAACGTGTGGGAAGGAAGTCTTGTTCGGGGCACACTCCCGCGATTGCAGCGGATTCTTCTCCTAGTTCATACGTCGCAGGTGAGGCATCCATGATGCATAGTGCAGCTCGCTCTATCACTATTCAAGAATAGTCGTAGTTGTGTTGCCAGAGACAAGGATGGCGAAGGATGGTCTCAGCCAGGCGAATAGGGGGTAGTACCAGACAGCCCACGTTCCACCCGCCGAGATATCCAGGCATGAAGATCACTTCACTCTGGATTCCAGCGCAAAAACCAAATTCAATTGTTTCTCAAAATGCCATTGCTGCAGAACCGTAGATAACTGGTTGATACGGGTCACGACTGTGGTTTCGTCAGACCCCGAAAAGAGAGGTAGATTAGTATCCGGGTATCTTCGGGGAAACCCCAGCGCAAAAGTTCGAAAATTTTAATCATTCCTCTGGCGTTTAATCTGAAAGGCAACTTCGCCCTACAAAGTTGAAGGAACCAGATGTTCTGATCTTCGCTTGAGATGGGTACGCTATTGGGCAACTCGAAGCAAGCCCCCGGCATTAGTTTCTGGGGTCTCCGAATCACGACCCAGACTGCATTGCATGGCTGATGAGGAATCTTGCAAACGCTTGATGCTGAACGGAGTAATCGTTTGGAGATTTCCCCTCTGTCGCTGGAGGCAGCGCTGTTCTTGTTCTTGGTAGATATGCTCGAAGCTTGGCCTTTGCGAGGTTTTGATGGTAAGGATTCGGCTGCTCGGGGTCACTGGCGTCATCCACGGTGGGAAGAACCCACTTCTGTTCAAAAAGGAAGAATCTCTTTGCCAAATTTTGATATATCAAACCACAAATTAACCAGCCGGCAAGGCGGAGCCTGAGGCTTCCGAGCACAAAGTGTGCTGCTGCCGGTGAAGTGCGGCGATCGGACAGCTTAGCCATTATTCTATCCATATTTCACGAACTCTCCAATGGTGGAGATGATCAATGTGCCATTTCAGTAAGGGCAGACTCTATGGCATTCAAAGTAAAACTTAAAATTGAACGAAGAGACAAACTCTTCACTAGGCGCCAGCGATCCACAAACCCGAAGAGGGAGAATGCGGCATGCGATAGAATGGAGCTACTCATGAAGGATAAACAATTTTATCGCAGGCCCTGAACGACTATCTCCAGATCGTGGAGCAGCAGTGCAACCAATGAATATTCAATGGGGGGAGAGAAAGAAAGAAGATATTGTATGTTCGCAGTAACTAATTGTACAAAGACGCTTCAGATTCAAGCAAAAGGCTCTGCCCACTTCCGTCTTCGAATTTCGATGGAGGTAAACCTTGACTCTTCCCATCAACACCCAAAAACATGTCCCCTTTAACTACCGTGCGAGAGATGCAGTAAAAAGATAGTTATAGGATCTGGAGAGAACTTGGGCGTTTGCTTCCCCTTGGAACTCAGAGAGTGACATTATATGTATAATAGTTATAAATGCTTGTCTATGCAAAGGAGAGAGCTAGAAGATCATTCTTCGCCGTAGGGATAAAGCAAGGAGTTACATTTTGACCACCATATCCCTATTCGATTGATTGGAAACAGTGACGACTGTCTCTAGTTTAGATTTCCAAGAGAAATTGCGGCCCACTCTGCGCTGCAATGGATCAAGAATCCTGAGGTGGAAGGCCGGGATTCTGTTGTTCCTGGTAGTGAAAGGAATTCGAAGCATGGTTCAAAAGGAAAAAGGCTCCCTTTCCTCCGGCTGGAACAGTTTTAAGGGCTCATGATAACAATTTGAAGGCACCGCACAAGGTGTGCGGCAATGTGTGATTGGACGGGGGAATACCCTGCCCCTGACATATGAGCTCCGCTCCCGCAGGTGGGGGTTGATTCTTTCATGGGAGGGTTGGTTACTCTGCTATCTAAATCGGGACTCTCGACAGTGCCCTGCGCTTCGTATCCCAAGCTTGAATGCCTCCCATCGAGTCTCGGGCTACACCCTACCGCAACAGAGGACTTGGTGTGAAAGAAAGAACCGGAATCAAAAGGGAATTATACCCAGCGAGAAATCCTCCCTCTCCGGGCTGATATAGAAGTTGGTTGAATTAACGTCTAAAACCAAAAAAAGAGCGTACGCACACAGTCAAGACACACCATGCCTTTCTACCCAGGAATCTATTCAATCCATGCTCGTGACAATCAATACAAGGGTCATATGTACGATCCACGCCCTCACATATGGACGTATATTCAACTGGTCCGTCCAGTTTCATTTTGGGGTCTTTTCTAGATCATCACTTAATTCTGAAACTCTAGCTTGGTTGTCAGGCTGCCCCTGAAACCTCATTTGGAAACCCGACATGAGAAAAAAGAAACTTTTGGAAAATTGGCACTTCGCAGCGAACTAAATCCGAAAAAGAAAAAGCATGTGGAAGACGCGATAGTATCAGTATCTCTATCTCTGTCGATCTAATTATTGCAAGGTTCCTGGAACGTCTCATGTTTGCGGTAGACATTTACCCGGATGGTCTGGAATCCGGATATTGATTCTTATCAAGGCATTATGAGTTGCCTAAACCCAATCCGCAAATCTGAAACAAGTGCAGAAGGTTAGAGTTACCTTTCGGTAAACCTTTTCCCTTGTGTTCGTTGACCACCATATAAACATGTGCATCTGAGCCGGGGGGTGGGTGTGTCTGTCCACTTTACAGTGTGTAAAGACACAGCCAGCAGCCGACGTGTCCTGTTCTCAGTCCCTTGCTGGGAATGGAACTTTCCTGTGCATCCAGACTTGTGGGTGATGAATAACATCAGCCTGACGTAATATTTCACTTGCGTCCTCCACTGCCTCTCCCTCTCCTTCTGCCCCTATTCAACCCCATATTCCTCGGCCCTTGAATATCAGATATATCCTTCTTGCTCAGCCGTAATGTCCCACCCGCAAACTTCCCTATAGCCGGGCCCCCAATACCCCTCTCACTCCGACCACCTCGACCGCTGCCACTCTTATTTTTCCCAGGCGTAGAGAAAATAGGCTTCTCAAGAATAATCCCATTCTCCCTAGCTTCTCTCCGTCGCGCTTCTTCCTTTTTGCTCGCTTTCCCAATGATACCTTTGCGATGGGACATGGGCATTTTCGCTTGTGTGAATAAGGATGTTTTTGCTCCGGCAGATTGCATACGGAGATCGATGGCGCGGTGTCGTTTCGCACCGGTTGGGTTGAGGTCGTCTGCGCTTTCGAGGAGATGGGATTCCTTTAGTAGTCTCTGGAGGGCGAGGTCGTTTTTCAGGTTCTCTGCATCCATGGCCAGGTCATCCGTGGTGTCGCCTGTTGCTGCTGTCAACTTGCTCTTGGATGATATCTTCGATGTCCCGGAGGATGGGGGGGGTTTTGCTGTCTATAGAGTTCATGATGACTTTTGTTAGATCATGCCTTTCTCCCTTCTTTTTCAATTTTATACCAAAAGCTTTACTTTCATCCTCTAGAATTGAATAATAAAAAAGAAAAGAAAAAGAAAAAGAAGCGCATGAGATTGAGTGAAACACACCATAAAAGTTTTCCAAGCCTGTTTGTCTACGCAGTCCTTCCTCGAGTTCCATGAAGTTGTGTCCTCAACTACTTTGGCAGGCTGTTCGACGGCATTGGCTTCGTCCGAAAGGCCTTCCCACTCTTCCTCACCGTCATTTTCCTCTTCTGCGGACGAAAAATATGAAGACTCCTTTGGAGCAGTGGATATAGGTTTCACAAGCGCTTCCACTGGCCCAAATTCAGCCTCAAAAATCTTGCGTAGAATATCCTGTGCTTCATCGGCGGATGTCGGGTTTTCCTCGTCGCTATCCTCCTCGTTATGGGCTTGTCTCGTAACAACAGTAACATCCCGTTTTCGTTTGCCTAACATTATATGTAAAAGCAGCGAATATTCACCAATTCGAAGCGTTTCCGTGTTGCCGATTGAGGTAAATACTTTGAAAACATGTTGTTGTATAGGATCATCGACTTTCGCTCAAAGTATATTTTTTTTTTCTTTTGCGGAACTTATGTCATTATGGTTAAAGATCACGTGATAATGGTGATTAACGAACAACTGCAAAGAAACCCTCCCACCAAAACAATTATATTACAGCGAATATGAGAGATCACTAGATGGAGAAGTAGGGAGGAATTTCGCATTTAAATCTCAAGGAAGAAAGATGACTCGTTTCCGTCCATGCATTGATTTGCATGCGGGTCAAGTTAAACAAATTGTTGGCGGTACGCTGACCTCCAAACCGGCAGAGTTGAAGACCAACTTCATATCATCGCAGCCTGCTGCGTATTTTGCCAAACTCTACAAAGAACATAATTTGACTGGCGGACATGTTGTGATGCTTGGAGGGGGCAATGAAGAAGCTGCAAGGGAGGCTCTGGCAGCTTGGCCTGGAGGTCTGCAAGTTGCTGGCGGCATTACTGATAAGAATGCGCAGCATTGGATTGCAGCTGGCGCTGAGAAGGTCTGTCTGTTCTGCCTGGAATCTTGTGCATTGGTTCCTGTGTGATGTTTGATAGTGGTTCATGTTATGTCATCTTTATTCTTTTGTCGCTTTGAGGGTGTGCGCAAGTGACTTATAAGTTGCAAATGAATAGTAGGTTATTATTACATCCTACCTTTTTCCAGAAGGGCGATTCTCCCTCGAGCGCTTACGGACGATACTCTCCGTACTCGGAAATGATAAGTCTAAGTTGGTTCTGGACTTGAGTTGCCGCAAGAAGGGAGACTCGTGGTTTGTTGCCATGAACAGGTGGCAGACGATAACGGAAATGGAGATTACGCAAGGTATCTATCTATCCTATTTGTTATATGCAAGATACTCCAGTTGTGGTATTAACCAGGTCCATTTACAGAAAGCATCGCAACGCTCGAACCGTATTGCTCTGAATTCCTTATACATGCGGCAGATGTTGAAGGGCTGCAGCAAGGAATTGATGAGGCGCTCGTATCGAAATTGGCGGAATGGTGCACCATACCAGTGGCGTACGCTGGAGGCGGGAGGAATCTGGGGGATCTCGACCGCGTTAAGTCAAGCAGCGGAGGCAAAGTTGACTTGACGTTTGGAAGTGCGCTTGATATATTCGGGGGGTCTGGAGTGACATTTGCGGAGTGCGTGGAGTGGAATAGGATGAATGGAAGCTAGATGCTTGATATTGTTTTCTTAACGAGAAATGAAGAGAGTTCTGGAATCCGGTGTATTCCGGTGTATAGGGATGTTTCTTGTCGAGCTAGCGGAGTACGTAAGTTGATTTGAACTGTGTAACTAACGCAACTTCCCAAGCGAGCAGAACGCCCAAGCGAACGGAACACTTATAGTCTGAAAATTATAAATGACTATGATTAAATCGGTCAATATTTCAGAATAAGTACTATTTTCATATATTATTCTTAACCTGTAAAGCGTAAAAATTTAAAAAAAAAAAATTTAAAAAAAAAAATTAAAAATTAGTTTAATAACTAAACTAGAGATAAAAATTAAGCGTAGAATTTTTGTATAAATGTTTATCTATATCAATATATTATCATGAACTAAGAAATTTTATAAACCAAGGTATTTTATTGTGTGATATAGAACTTTATTTAGTGGTCTTTAATTAATTAGTTGTCTAGTTAGTGTCACCATGGCTCAACTAGAGTCAAGATGATAACAAGACAACAGCTTCAATTCATCTATCTAACTAGGCAGCTGCAACGAGAATACTAAACTGGGGATTAGAATGTGGAATGAACGAGCAGCCGAATATATAGAGGTTGGTTGAGGATCGGATCAGATCAACCTTCAGAGCGTAGCGGGGCGGATCAGCTTAATCCATATACAAGCAGCTGCGCCGTAACATAGAGAAATATAAGATTTATCAATATTGTAGCAAGTGCAATATAATCAGTTATACTGCTAAAAGCTCTCAACAGATATAAGAAATAGATCTATATATTTAATATAAGAAATTTTAGTTGATGATTACTTAATGTTAGGGAGTGAATGCGAGCTGCGTAAGAAAGGATTCGACTATAACCAATCCACAAGGTCACATGATGGAGATAAACCTAATCCTGGCATCGAGATCACGAGCCTAACACTTCATTTCACAATTTATTAATTGTAGAATAGAAAAATATATTCAGTGAAATAAAATATTTGATGATAAATTATATTTCTTTAGTCTTTGATTTTTAATAGTTAAAGTAGTTAAGATTAATTTTTATTTATTATAACTATTAAATATAAATTAAAATATAAATATTTAAAAAAACTACTTTATTTTAAAATTTTATCAAATGTAAAAAAAAGATTAACTGAACAGTAGATACAGCTTAAATTCAATATTACTAAAACATCAATCTTAAAAAACCTTAGATACTTGATAATATATATATAAAAGTCTTCAAGACTTAAAACATTCAAAGCAGCTTCATGACTATTAAAATTATCTTATTCGAATCAGGGAGTATTTTAGCAGCCGACAGCCGAATATTCAGCTCTAAAATTCTATCTTTTCAGATTGTAGGACAAGAATCTGATAAGACACGGTCTTGATCAGATATTAAGGTCTGTAAATATGAAATACTCAACATCAGTATTGTGAAGAAGCAATATCAGGTTATTTTTGATGCAAATTAGAAAGAGAAGAAAAAACACAAGATTCCATCTGAATTATTCCACCTGCTGAGCTTGTTGAACAGCCGTTGTCATTCACCCTGCGAGCCTCCACCGCCTGAGTCTCCACCGCGCTCACGAGCTCCACCAAGTCGTACGAACTGTGGTATAGGTCATAAAAGAACAAGCTGTCCCTAATCCGATTGTTAATTTAATGTAATTTAATAAGCTAGCCGTGCCACGCGCACTCACCATTAGTGAATGCGCCCCACCGTAAAGAAAATATCACTGTAATGAAAATCTTCTAGGATCACCAATCTTCAAAAATTAATTAATGGTCAACACCATGCCTATCTATAATATAAAGATTATCTATATACTCATTAGAGCATGTAGAATCTCCGATAGATTGAGATTCATTAATAACATCATGTTGTGGTTGGTTGGCATTTGATTTGGGGACTTTGATCCCAACCGACTGTAGGGCTCTATTCCTCTCTTTTATTGATTCCTCTTCCTTACGATGCTTGATCTTGCGATTGGCATCCTTGATAGTGAGGACCCCCCTCTACCTGCACCTGCCTGCGGCTGTTTTTGACAATCCGACGTCTATTCATCAAATAATGAACAGATAACTCATTCTCTCAATGTGCATTCAATTCTGCCTGTATCAGACTCCCCTTGAAGATCTTATCCAATCACTGGGTCAGACCAGGTGTCAGAATGTTTTTCATCTCTTGTATGATCTTATCTGCTGCCTTGATTTGACGATGTAGTTTTATGACTGTATCTGGGGATGTCAACTGAGAAGATGTAGTGGAGGGTCAGGTCTCAGGAGGTGGAGTAAAACTGGAGCATTCTTCACCATCACCATCATAAACAAGCAGCTCTGGGCTGTCATCTATATTATGTTGTCTCAGGCGTTGAAGGATTACTTCTTATTTGATTGGATAGATCCCACAGTCAGCAAATCCAGCTCTGATGATGGCAGGTTTGAAGGTTTGATGACAGACACTCTCTAGATTAGCAAGGAATTGCCTCCCACCATATTGTTCATATCCATATCGAGTAGCCTCGTTAACTGCTTTTGTATAATAATGCTTATATTGCTGGAAAGGCACACCATTGAGAGGTTGCAGTAGATGACTTGTATGGGATGGGAATCCAAATACAATGATGTTATGAAAGTCACAATATTGAAGAAATTCTTCAGTAAGATTAGATTCATGATTGTCAAGCAGTAATAATTGATGACTGCCAACCTGGCATTTCTTAGTGGCAGTATTAAAACATTTTATCTATTTAAATCCAATCTCATCATTAGTGAAGCCAGTGTCAGATATGGCGATGGCATAATCATCAGGCAGGTTAGAGTGTATATACCAATCTTCTAGATGAACCTTTGATTTCATTATAATCAATAGCTTCAACACTGCGCCATCTGCACTGATGCATTCCACCACTGTTATTAACCCGCGAGAATATGATGATTGTATGACAGAATTGACACCTTGATAGGCAGTTGTAACCCATTGTCCACAGTCTTCTCCTTCTTGAAACCCAATCTCATTGAAATTATAAATGTCACTGGTGTAGAACTTATACTGATTGAAGACAGATTCATAGTGGTTGAACCGGTTGATAACAAAGTTTATATCCTCATTTGACACTCATTTTGGATTCATAGGTTTCTGCTTGATCCTCTTATAACCTGGCAGACATTTGATGAATTGATACATCTACATCTTGCCCACAGTAGAAGAGGTGTCTGGATTGATATGATAACAACTCAGCATTCAATTTGCAGCAGCTTCGATATGTTCAACTGTAGGAGGACAAAAGTTTTTATCCAGTTGATGAATCCAATTCTTGATTGCTTCCTCCTGGCTGTCACTCAACATTCGATTGATTGGAGCCCTCATATTCCTTGATCTCTTTCCCTTAACGCGTCCATACAGAGTTCCATATGGAATTTTGAATTCTCGCGCCACATCCGTGATTTTTAAATTTGGATTTGATTTTACGGTGTCTAATGCCATCTGAATCTGATCTTCCGAATATTTAATATTTCTAGGCATGGTGGTGGTGGTTATTAAATTTTGAAGATTGGTGATGAATATACAAGAAAGAGATTTCCCCTCGTTACGGTGATATTTTCTTTACGGTGGGGCGCACTCACTGATGGGAGGTAGTGAGTTGCGCGTGGCACGGTTAGTTGTTGCATTGAGATGATTCGAATTAAACTCTAGTTAGTTGGGCTGCGGTGACTCTGGTGTTCCTTTTGGTGGAGTCCGTTAGTTAACTAACTATATATAGAGACGGTTGATGTCATATGTCACAGGTATGGGGGTTTGGTCTGGGATTCGCCGGGCACATCACTCCCATTAGGAGGCAAGGAAAATACAAAAGCATTTGTTAATCATTTGAAGACATACATTTAATACACAAACAAACTACAGAAGTAATAATGCAATTGGAATGGTTGAAGGACATCAAGCGAAGCTGTAGCTGGAGGGGTTTGGGTGGACCGATGTTCATGTAGGTAGGTAGTTAGTTGGTTATAACGTTAGCCTAGCATAGTTAACTAGTAACTTAACTCTGCTTACGTTGATTTCCTCCAACATCGCAGCAGCCAACCCTCACGAACCCGCAACAAGCGGCACCCTCGCATCATTTTTAACATCTTTGTCCGTGTAATTACGTTTACAACTCCTTTAGTTACTCTAGCTGTCCACTCTATTCTCCAAAATTACCTTTCAAGAAGTTCTAGGAGCTTAACTGAACTGTTCTCACCTCCAGTCTCTGAGCATCCATCCGTAATTCGGATCTCCGATCAAAATGAAGCCGGTCGTATCTGCGGCCAACGCCTGGAGCTGGTAAGAGTGTGCACACTCTCCCCGTTCATACAAAGCAAACCTATGTCTATCTGCAACTGGTACAGCAGACTGATACTTCTCTTTCGACTCTACAGCTTTATCATTTCCATCTTCGCCATCATCATCTTATCAATCCTTGGCTCTCTGTTTAAAGTACGTCAATATCAAAACTAAGACACACCCTAAAATTACCAGAACCAGCAAGATGGAGAAGAAGGGAGGGTGCTAGGGAATTCCCTCATGCCACATCGTGTTGCTATGCTGCAGCTTTAACACGTTCCATCCCACGGTGAAAGCGCGGATAGACACAGGGAACTAACTAGCATTATGGCATTACAGAACAACCACCATTCAGTCACCGGGTCCACCAAAGACCCGGAGAACGGACCAGCAGTCGCAGCGTCGATATTCACAGCTGTAGCCGTTTACGCTGTACGTAGCTTTTACTTCCCCCCCCCCCCCCCCAAAACCACCTTCATCCGTCCACAAGGAATCTTGCTCGCGCGAAAATCTCCAAAAAACCAACCGCTATCATTCAGCGCGCAAGCTTAGCCATGCTGCGCATGCACTAACTGCGCGCCCCCCGTTTCTCTATAGTTCTTCATGGTATTTTGCGGCATACAAGCCTTCCTACACGTCCGAACGAGTCGAAGAGGCGCAATATCGTTGAACTGAGAACATTCTAAATTCCTTTTATGTTAAAATAATTTCATATCGGGGTTTTACTTTCTTCAACTTTATTGTTTACAACCTAATGGGGCGTAAAGGCTGAGATAGAACATGTGGGAGATGTACCCAATCTTTTTTTACTTTGGTTCCGGCTCTGCTGTTGCATATTAGATAAATCTACTTGGGCACTGGATGTGCGTATGATTTGAGCGATTTATTGGGAATAGACGGATACGGTGCTTTATTCGGAACCCAGTGAAGTGAGGATATGCAAAGGATGCCCAGATTATACCAAAGTTATGGGGATGGCCGACATTGTTCGAAGACGGGACGGCGGCAAAACTATTTCTGCCATTTACATTATGCCCGGTTTAGGGATGGTATATATGGACTCGATCAACTATTGTCAAACATCGCCCCGACCACCATCACCATCACCATCACCATCTTCCCTATTCAGCTATCTGTCTTTTCTTTTCTTCTGGCGCATTTTGTATATGTGATCTTGCCCTTGCATAATTCTGATTTCTGTATCATCTAAGATGAAAAAAACTTGTCTTGTGCCTATAGAGCTCGTTCTGGAGTAGGTGATATGTACATACCTGTGGATCTGCTGATGTTGGTTGTTGTGGTTGCCGTTGGTATGGACATCAGATATGCATGTTGTCGTGCCCATGGACTCCATTCTTCAAAACGTACAATTCCCCATTTATACCTTCTATATACGAATCCAATCTATCCGTAGGTGGAAGAGCAACCAGACAGAATGAATGTTCAAGAGAAAGAATATCCCATATGATTGTTTCTTTTTTTTCCCCTTAAACGCCAGGGGAGGTAGCCAACACCTGTCCACGCCCGTCTACCCTGTACAAAGAGGACAAACGCCATAGTAAGGTGCAATAACTAAATCAATATCATCAAGCCATAACTATCCGGCCGTATAGATGTGAAAAATGTCACTCCTCGATAACGCACGGAGCCCTTTCCACTTAGCACTCCTCACCGCCAGAATCTTGCCGCTCCACCGGATCAAGCATCTTACTCATATACGGTCCATCAAGCCAATATCCAAGTCTGGCATAATAACTCCTAACCCCAACGCCAGAAATAACACTGATCTTCCGACTCCCATGCTCCTCCCTCGCAATCCTCTCCGCCTCCTCCATCAACAGCGTGCCAAACCCCCTATGCTGAAACTTGCGCGGATCCCGCCCATGCAACGGCACAGCAGAGCCGTACACATGCAACTCACGCACAAGGCTAGTCTGCTGCCCCGTCAGCTCCGGCCGGAACGTATGCGTCTTGCTACACTTGCGCAACCGCAGCAAGCCAATAAGGATATCCTGCTTCGGATCCTCGTACGCCAAAAACGTCTCCCAGCCACCATTGGCGGTGTAATCGCGCCGTACAAGCTCGACTTGTGACGGGCGAATTTTGTTCTTCACCTCGTTGATGCCGACTTCACGCGTGCGCACGTCGCGGCACGTGGTGCCGAAGTCCTTCATGCGGCTCAGCGCGAGTTCGCGAAGGTTGCCGTTCTCGACGCCGGAGGTGACGAGGGGCATGGGGATGTCGCGCTGGACGCGGTAGATTCTGGTCCAGGGCGGGACGAGGGCGAGGATGCGTGCGACGATGTCTACGAGGGCGTTTGGCGTGTAGTTTTTATAGCGGCCTGTGCGCCAGAGTTCGTACAGGCCTGTGCCGCGGATGACGAGGGTGGGGTATATTTTTAGGCCGTCGGTGCGGAAGTCGGGGTTCTCGAAGTATTCTCGGAATTGGTCGAGGTCACGTTCCATGCCAACGTTTGGGAGGTCGGGCATCATGTGGCTGACGACTTTGAAGCCGGCGTCTTTGGATAGTTTGAATGTTTCAACTACGGCTTTTACGGTGTGACCCCTGTTGGTGTCGCGGGCGACGTCTTCGTAGAGACTTTGCACGCCGATCTCGAGGCGTGTGCAGCCGTACCGGAGCATGCTACTTAGGTGGGTGTCTAGACAGTAATCTGGTCGTGTTTCGATGGTGATCCCTACACATTTTATGTTACTCATTTCCCCGGCCTGGACGGCCTCGTCGACATTGCTGGTCTGATAACCGCTAAGCGCATTGTGGAGCTGTGATATAAATTCGTCCCGATAGTCCTCTGGCAGGGACATGAAAGTGCCGCCCATGATAATGTATTCCACTTTATCCACACTGTGTCCCAATGATTTGATTTGTTCCACTCTGCCCCTTGCTTGCTCGAAGGGATCGTATCGAGCTCTGATGGCGCGCATGGACGTGGGTTCATATCCGGTATATGATTGTGTAGAGTATTCGAAATCAGAGTCAGGGCCACCAGGGCAGTAGACGCAAATATTTCCCGTGTAGGCAATATGAGGGCATCGATGTGGTTTGCACATTACCGCCACCACGGCAATGCCGGACGATGTTCCTATGACAAATTCCTGTTAAGCAAAAATACGGATATTTTCAGACAACAAATATTTTCGAAAACACATACTTATCGGCTTCGCAATCAGTTTTGGGAGGATATATTTCTTATAATGCTCCGGGACAGCAGAGATGATAGCTGTTAGTGGGGGTTGGGTGCTCAGACGGTGCTTTTTCGATATTTGACCCCGCAGCTTGTTCAGATTGATGTCCTTCTTCGGCTTGGTGGAGTCTCTCTGAGATTCATATTCTTGGATAAGGGCATTTGCAATATCCGAACATGCTCTCAGGTACCGTTCGTTCTCTGGAGGCAACTTTGCCGTCTTCTGGGGTTTCTGCAGCTGCTTGGTGGGAAGCGCAGTCATGGTCTGCGTCGCCATGATGGCGGCCGGTATATATTCTGTAGCAGCAGCTGCTCTAGCTGCAAAAAACGTTTATCGGAATGTTCCCAAATACTACAATCCCGGCTGCGATAAATATAGGTTTTGTGGCGGTGAGACAGCAATGCGATTATCCTGATTGTTCGTCGAATCCAAGTTTGCTCCTTGCAAGCTCCTGGCAGCCGGGGGATCGGTTTAACTATTTAGCGTGGAGAAGCCAACGCCATAACAACAACGTCAGGCAGGGTCTTTGACAGCATCATAGAGTATTTAAATATAGCTCCCCAGCCCGCCAACTCGTCCTTTTTCACCACACTAGGAACTCTCACCTTTCTTTGCCTGTTATTTTCTCTTTTAACTGCTCTAGACATTGTGCACACTATGCAGGTCTTCAGACGTAGCACGGCTTCTGCACTGCAGAATGCTCTCCTGTGTCAGCGCCGGGGTCTAATTACCTCGACCGCCGGCTATTCCTCGACGATAGACAATCTGCGGATCAATAGCGACACAAAGGTCATCTACCAGGGATTTACTGGAAAGCAGGGAACGTGAGTGTAATTGCTTTCGTCCTTGACACGAAGACTGATTGCTAATGGTGCTTTCGTTTAATAGATTCCACGCCCAACAAGCAATTGAATACGGTACCCACCAGAAGACCTCCATCATGAACTACCTCTGATATATCTCAGGAACCAACATTGTTGGCGGAACAAATCCCAAAAAGGCGGGCGAGACCCATCTTGGAAAGCCTGTGTTTAGAAATGTGGAAGAGGCTATGAAGGAAACGGGCGCAACAGCCTCCGCCATCTTCGTCCCGTATGCCCTAGGTGCCACCATATATTTTAATATATTGACTAACAATTGGATAACTAACCCCCGTTTAGACCTCCAGTAGCTGCCAGCAGTATCGAGGAGGCAATTCGGGCGGAGGTGCCTCTCGTCGTCTGGTTCGTTCCCCCATCTAATATTCTATGAGAACCACTAGAAAAAACTGACAGGGCATTTTTCGTAGCATCACGGAAGGTATACCACAACATGGTACGTGATTTTCCCTAAAAAATTTCAATTCCGACACAGAAATATCTTACCTAATACCGTGTAGATATGGTTCGCATAACCGATATCCTGAAAACGCAAAGCAAGACCAGATTAGTCGGCCCCAATTGCCCCGGCATTATTGCTCCAGTAGGTGAACCCCAACCTCCTTCACAAACAATAATTTAAACTCAAATGAATTTAACCAAAAAATTACCACAATAAAACAGGGCCAATGCAAAATCGGCATCATGCCCGGCTTCATCCATCAACGCGGCCGCATCGGCATCGTCTCCCGCTCCGGCACCCTAACCTACGAAGCCGTCAACCAGACCACCCAGGCTGGCTTAGGCCAGTCCCTCGTCATCGGAATCGGCGGTGATCCCTTCTCCGGCACCAACTTCATCGACTGCCTCAAGATATTCCTCAAGGACGAGGAGACGGACGGAATCATCATGATTGGCGAGATTGGTGGGAGTGCTGAGGAGGACGCGGCGGAGTTCCTTAAGAGTGAGAATAAGGCGAATAAGCCTGCTGTTGGGTTCATTGCGGGTATCAGCGCTCCGCCTGGTCGGCGGATGGGTCATGCTGGGGCCATTGTGAGTGGGGGGAAAGGTGGAGCTGATTCTAAGATCTCCGCACTTGAGGCGGCGGGGGTGATTGTTGAGCGTAGTCCAGCTGCGTTGGGGAAGACGCTGCTGGCGGAGTTTGTGAAGAGGGATCTTGTATAAGAAAGCACTTTTAATTTTCAGTCTCTCTCTTTTTTTATTTTGGTTTTATTGTATTTTTGCTCTGAATATTTATTGTTGTTTTTAGATCATCTGCTTTAATAACTTGCATACATGCTGTTATGCTGTCATCATATTTTTTTTGGTTCCCTTTTCTTCTATCATTTCAATCACATCTTCCATTTGGTGTTTTCTGACATTTCTCTCGCGGCTCCTATTTAACTGCTTCCACAAATTGGGACTGATACCCGTCCAAGGTGGTTGTTGTTGTCCTTGTGGATTGGGTTTTCGTTTCTTTCCTTTCCCTTTTTTTTTTGTTGCATTTGCATTTGCCATCCCACAATAGGAAAATATAGAGCTTATGGTTGTAGAGACAAGAATATCAATTTTAATCCAAACGATCTATCGTGATGGTTGAGATGCTTTTT